GAGAGAGAGAGAGAGAGAGAGAGAGAGAGAGAGAGAGAGAGAGAGATTGGTGTCTCATTCCAAAGGCCTGAGCCCTTCAACAACTCTGTTACTCAGTGTTCAATGGATGTTTGTTGAATGACTAAATTAATTTCCTGTGTTCGGATGGCTACAAGCTCTGTCTATTTTACCTTGAGAAGGTCTTGAGATTTGAGCCTTAGGTATAGCTGCCAACTTGTCTTTCCAAAGTGTCAAGAACTGAGCCTTGGTCCTGAAGTCAGAGATAAAGCCCAGTTGCCTTCTGCATAAAACCTTTAGTCTAGTCACAATAAATAACGGTTAAATATACTTCACAGTTACAAAGACCTCATCTTAGAGCATGCCAACCATGCGCCAACCCTGATGTTAAAAATGCTAAGCTGGGGCCGGGGATGTAGCTCAGTGGCTCCATGCCTGCCTCACAAGCGCAAGGTCCTGAGTTCGATCCTGAGTACCAAAATAAAAGAAATACTAAACTAAAAAAGACAGAATCTGCCCTTGAAAAATTCATACTTTAGTTATATTTTTTTAATTTAATTTTTTATTATTACATGTTTATAGTACATAATGATTACACTTATTGTGGGGAATTCGTACAAGTACATAACATATTAATTCTTTTTTGTCCCCTTCCCCTCCCGCTCCTCCCTACTCCCTTCTACTCTTGTTCCCCTTCCCATTTGAGAAAGCTCTATTTCCATTTTTTCTTGATTTTCTATTTTTAACCCCCTTTCCCTTCCTTCTCTCCCCCCTTCCTCCACCCCTTGTTCCCCTTCCCATTTGAAAAAGATCTCCCTGCTTTCTATTATCTGTTCTTTATTTTGTTCTTTATTGATATTTTGGGTTTCACATATAACAGAAACCTTGCAATATTTAAGCTTGTGTATCTGATTTATTTTACAATGACTTTAACTCTTTGAGGAAGATTCCTAGAAGGGGAATACCTGAGTCAAATGAAATTTCTAGTTTTAGTTTTTTGAGGAGTCTCCATACTGATCTTCATAGTGGTTGTTCTAGTTTATATTCCCACCAACAGTGCAAAAGAAATCCTTTTTCCCCACAGCCTTACTTTAACTAGCATTTGTTATTATTTTATTTCTCTTTTTTCTTTTCTTTTCTTTTTTTTGTTTTTTTTTTTTTGAGACAGGGTCTTGCTATGTAGTTCAGGCTGGCCTTGAGCTCATTATGTAGTCCAGGTTGCCTCGGGATAAATCTCCTGTCTCACCCTCCGGAGTGCTGGGATTACAGGCATGCACCACCATGCCTAATAGCCATTCTTTCTTCTGTAAGATGGCATTCTAATTATATTTTTTCTTATTTAGTCCCTTGAGAACCTGATATGACCTGTTCTTGTTACACAGTCATAGTAGCAGATAGGATCCACGTCCTTCAGTACCTGTGTTCTTTTGACTGTGTCACGTGTATTTCTTAGATCATATAGATTATAGCTTCCTTCTGTAGATCATGCTCAGTCATATCAGTGACCATCTGTCTGCATTATATTTTACAGAATAGTTTCACCTAAGTTCCCTCATAAAACCCTATTTCTTGGTTTGGGGTTGTAAGATTATTACCAATTTGTTGTTGTTGTTGTTATTGTTGTTGTTTTGGTACTGGAGATCAAACTTGGGACCTTGTGCTTGCAAGGCAGGCGGCAGAAACACTGAGCTAAATCCCTGGCCCTATTACCAGTTTGATTCACAAAATATTTACTGGTGTTTCCCCCTCACCTTTTCACTTGACTAATTCCTTTCGCTTGTAGGCCTCATTTTAAATGCTGCCTCTTCAGAGAGGCCTTTCCAGTCATCCTAATTCTGGAATCCCTTGTTGTACACTTTTATTCATAATGCTTATCACAACTGATAATTTTGAGTGACTTGTGAGGTGATTAGAGTCTGTTACCTTCCCTACATTGTAAGGTCCCTGAAAGCAAATGAAGTATATCTAGTTTATTTCAATGTATCTAGCCTTTGATGAGCAGTATTCTTTGGTATCTTTGGGGGTGTGTGTGTGTGTGTGTGTGTGTGTTTATTTTATCGGTACATTTTAAATATACATAATGCACCATTGGGAATTTGTACCTGTACATGATATATCTTGCTTCTTTTTCCCCATTCCTCTCCCCTTCCTTTAACCCCTCCTCCCCTTCTGTTTACTTTTTTTTTTATTCTTTGAGATAGGGTCTCTCTCTGTAGTGCAGGCTGGTCTTGAACTCACTATGTAGCCCAGGATGGCCTTGAACTTGCCAGGAGCCTGCTGCCTTAGCCTCCCAAGTGCCAGTGCTGGCATTACAGATGCACACCACCACACCCAGCCTCTTTTGTAACTTTGTATCTCCAATGTCAACTCAGGAGGTGTTCAGGGGTTGGTGTTGGAGATGCTATCCACTGGGCAGCAGAATCCTGCTGGGTGCTGTGGGGACATCATTCCTTCACCAGTCCCCGGCTGAGCAGCCTCTCCATTCCATGTGTTTGGGATACAGAAACCAATTAGCCACAGGCTCACCATCAACTACTGTAGAGTCAATGGAGAGAACAACACATCAAGAGATTATTATAAAGCATCGTGGCAAGCCCCTGCAGATAGGCGGAGAGGTGACAAGAGCACTAAGGAGGCAGCTGACCCAGTGCAGTAAAATAAATAAGTAAACGAAAGTAAATAAGGAGAGGAAGAGTGCTGGAAGAGACTGGTGTGCTGAAACTAAGAGGAAGAAGGAGCAGTACGAGGGAGTTTATAGGGAGAGCAGGAGGGCTTTGCAGACAGGAAATACAGCATGAGCAAAGGGCCAGTGGCCAGAAGCTGAGCAGTGTATCCTGAAAACCAGACCAGGAGGCAGACTAACCTGGAATTAATCTCCACATCCCTTGAGTGCACCGAGACTCAGTTTCCTCAGCTGTACCCTGTATCTCCCTGGGCCATGGTGAGGACTGAGCAGAATAGGACTGGGTACAGTGGTGCACACCTACAATCCCAGCTATTTGAGAGGCTGAGACAGGAGGATTGAAAGTTTAAGGGCAGTCTGGGCAACCTAGTGAAATCCTGTCTCAAAATAAAATATAAAAAGGGCTGTGGATATAGCTCAATGCTCTCTGGATTCAATTCCCTGTACTTCAAAACAGTAACAGAACAGGAACAGCTCTCCTGACACCAGGGGTGGGTAAGAACCATGTCCTGAGCCCTGGCTCCTGTGCTCACCAGTCTTTCTTTTGGAAGCAGAAGGAGATTCTGCTGCACGTCCTGCACTACATACAGTACCTCCAGAGAACCATCGATGTGGTCAAGGCCTTGCTCAAAATCTACCTCAGAAGTGAGGAAGGTGGACTTGGGGGTAAGCAGTTCAGCCAACATTACCTGGTGCCTGTTATGAGCCAAATCTAAGTGATTTACATGAGTCTAGCTTTTCTCTCCACCCCCAGGATTCACAGCCTGGAGAAGGGGAAACATCAAAAAGGCATTCTGGATGCTGCGGGAGCTTGGGGGGTTCAAGGACACTAGGAGAAGGGAGGGCCCTAGCAGATCAAAGGAACGACAGGAACAAGAGCAGGTGGGAAGGAGGAGACGAGTGTGCTCATCTGGGGGCAGGCCAGCCATGAGTATTGAGTGGAAGGACCCAGTAGCACTGAGATGACTCCTGAGCCAGATTCTGATTCAAATGTGTCTTGGTGACCTTGGCCTCTCTGTGCTTTGGTTCCATCATCTACAAAATGCAACTTACACCAGTGCTTCTTCTCTGTTTGTCACGGGGATGAAGTGCAGTAATCCATGTAAAGAAATGTAAGACATCAATGCTGTCATTGTCACTGGGACATAAAATACACAGGCAGGACGGCAGGAGTTGAGGCTGGAGGGGTTTGGCAGGGCCATGGTGCCAGGGATGAGGTGCTGAAGGGCTTTTGGTGCACAACTGTGGAGGGAGATGAAGAAGATGAGAATTACTGAAGGTTGTATATACTGTATATACTTTCTAATGGTGCTAGGGATGGAACCCAGGGCTTCACACAGGTGGAGGCAAGCTCTCTACCGTTGAGCTACATCCTCATCCCTTACTGAAGGATTTTAAGCAAAGAAAAGTCATCATCAGATTTTGGTTATTTGTTTTAGAACAAGGACCCTGATACTAGTGTAGAGGACTGGTTATTAAGGAAGACACTGGAATCAAGATGAGAAAATACTTCTAGGACAAAGACAATGAGGCCCAAGCCAGCACTATAGCTGAGAATGTGGACAGAAGTGGGTAAATTTGAGGGAGAGACTCGGCAGGACCCCAGGACTGGGGCAGCACCCTCGCTGGGCTGAGGAGGTTAGGAGGAGAAACAGGTTTGGAGTGGAGAAGAGGGACAAGCATCTGGGAAGGTCAGGGTCCACTCTGGGAACCCACCCCAGCTGAAGGCTGGGAGCGTTGTCTGGCAGGCAGGAGATGTGATGGATGAGGATGGATGAGGTTGAGGGCTCTGACCTGTCTCCTCCATCCCACCAGGATTGGGCTGGAATCCAGCCACAGGCCCAGCCAGGCAGAGACACTCCACCCCCTCCAGCTCTCCATGCTGTCAGAACTCTCAGCTTTGGGGGGCCTGCCAGAAACCTCAGAAGAAGCAGCTGACCCAAGCAGGTACGGGCCTTAAGTGGAAACTGAGCAGAAAGCAGCCCTGACAAAGGAGCAGGGCTGCCTGCCCAGGGAGGCTGTCACCCTGGGGTCTATTCCTAGCTCCTCCTAGTAGGAGCCCTGGGGCCTGGAATGGGCCATTCTCCTCTGAGCCTTTGCTTCCTCACTGGGAAATGCAGCACCTGCCATGGGCTGGTCTCGGGGTATAGAAAAGGATGCACGAGCTCTGCTGAAGCATCACTTACAACAGGCATCAGACCAATTGCATGTTTTGTTTGATTTTTTAGAGCTCAGGTGTGTGGACAGAGGTTGGACTAAATGACCTCTACTTGGGGATCTGGGCATGCCCAAAAGGGTGGGGGGTGACCAGGCCAGAGAAAGCTTTGAAACAGTGTCTGCACAGAGCACAGGCGGCCCCTCCTGAGGCATGTCTGACACCTGTCTCTGCTCTGTCAGAACTCGAGACCTGGCCCCAAAAGTCTCGAAGCTCTCTGGCTCTGGACACGCCTAAAAAGCTGGTGATATCCTCAGACCAGAAAGAAGAAAACATGGGAAGGACCACCACCTCTCCAAGGTGCCCTGATGCCTGCGATTCCCCCAAGGCCGTGCTGTCATCTCAAGAAGGAAATGCAGATGGAGAAGCAGGAGCCCAGCTGATGCTGCTAGATATGACCAAGGACATTGACTTTGATGACATCACAAGTTGGTCTCTTTCTTCACAGTGAATTTAGTTGTTTCCTTGGTGCTGTTTTCCAGGCACCCGCCATGACCTGTTGTAACCCAGACACAGTCCTAGTGGCTGGGAATACAACAGTGAAAGGGCATACACCACTTGTCACTTCATGGAGTATATGATCCTGCTCCCGGCTTTCTTGTTACGCTCTGTTGTGGGTAAAAGGGAGGGACAAGATCAAGGTCACCCTCATGTGTTAGCTTCAGGTTTAGAGCAGGGGAATAAGTCTTCACTTGAAGCAGCCAGCACTTCTTTCATGACTCCCTTGTCACTGCATCTGCTGGGAAAAGGGCAGTGATGTGTCTAGTAGAGAGCTGGGGAGGAGAGAGGGAGGGGGGTGTGAATTCAAGGTCTGGCTTCACAGTGCCTTCGACGCCTTGGGCAGCTGTGGCTCCTCTATTTGTTCATTAGCCCCTGTTCCTCGAGCACCTCCCCTGGGCCAGACCATGTGTAGTTTGCTTGTGACACATGAAGTGACCAAGTTCATACAGTCCAATGAAGGAGTCACCCGGGTTAGGAGATGCTGATGTGCGGAGTGATTCTGACATCCTGGGGTTGCCCTGGAGGCTGTGGGCCCTAGGGAAGATATCTGCCCCAGCCTGGAGCTCAGGAGGCACTTCACAGATCTTTCTGCCAGCTCTGTGACCTTTGATGTTACACTGATCTCTCTATGCCTCGGTTTACCTACAGGGTTAATAACAATGCCCTTTAGCAAAGGGTTATTGAGTAGGATGCAAAGTGTTTAAAACAAGGCTGGTCAAAGTCAGCACTGGATATTTGTTTGCTGTCATTGTCATTGTTCCACTTAAGGATTTTATCATCATTACAGCTCTTGATAAGGATGTGAGATTTAAGAAATGTGAGGGTGATTCAGGTGCCCCCAGTCTCACAGAGACCTTGCAGCCTAAGGTGTTGGCTAAGGTGGGGGAAAGCTGGGTGGCAGAACCTGGCACCTCTCTGTTCCCCGTGCCTTCGAGTCCTGGATTCTGGCCCAACGCACAGGAGTGGTCGTCCTGATTTGCCCCCAGGCAGCTGTTGTACAGATGGTGCCCAGGATGACGAGCCTGACCCCGCCTTTGAGGATGAGAGCAGGGGTGAGATGACCTACTTCCTCAGTGAGACACTGTTCTACCCCAGGTAGGGGAACCTCAAGAGCTCTAGTAAGCAAGGCTGAGGTGTGTGGTCTGGCGTGGCTGCGGGGTCCTAAGGAATGAGGCTGGTTTCCGTCCTCTGCCAGTGCACACACAGGAAAGCCTGACTTCCCATCTCCTGAACCATGATTGCACTCTCCACACTGGCCTCCCTGACTCCCGCCTCACCCCTCCAGCCTTTTCTCACTTGACTGAGTGGCCTTTCTGACACACAGTCCTTGACCGTGTCACTTGTGACCCAAAGCCCTTCTTTGTGCCCACTGGGTAGAGTCCAGATCTTAATGGCAAGGAGACATTCTGTGGCTCCAACTCATCATGTCAGCCTCTCTCCTGCCCTTAACCCATGAATCTTACACTTAACAGCATGAAACATGAGCTGTGCCTTAATCCTGTCTGAGCTTTTCACTCTGGTCCTTCCTACATAGCCCTCTCCCCTGGTCCACCTGAGAAACTGCCCATCCTGCAGGCTGAGCTCACTGCGACCCCTCTTCTCCAGTCCTCCCAGAGCCCCTCCGTCACAGGCACCCCCCAACCCATCGCTGGCATCTACTTATCTGCTCATCTTCCCCCACAAGACGTGAAGCTCCTTGAGGTCAGGAGCCTCAGCCTAGTAAGCTCCTTGAAGCCAGGACATATTTGGCCACACGGGACACCAAAGGGATTACACAGCCACCCCCTGCCCAAGACTCTTTGTCTGCCTCTTGATTCTACTTCTTACAGTCAGCAGGTGGTCTTCTATGATTCCAGTGAGGAGGTGGACAATGATGCTGATCCTTGGCTTCCTGTCTGCACCCCAGAGGGCAGCTCCCAAGGTGACTGAAACTCTGTCTCTCTTCTTTGTGGGCTCTGGTCTTCTTTTCACTTCTTTCGGAGGATTCCTATGGCAGGGAGGAAATTGGGATGTGCTAAGCACAGGGATGGCAAATGCACCATACCTGCTATCACTACACCACCAGTTACCATGGCAGACATGCTAAACAATCATCATTTTTCTTTCCTTGAGCCCAGATACTACCTCAGAACCTTTCTTACTACCAAGCTGCAGTTAGCTAGGTCAGTCTGTGGGATCTGGCACATTATGATAATAATTCTTTTTTTTTTTTTTTTTTGCCATCCGTGACATAGCACCAAGCATCATACCTCTTAATTTCCTCTACCAGGAAATGAAGTTCTGGAACTCCAAATGAGAAAGTGACAGTCACCTTTCCTATCTCTGCCAGTTGCTGTGCCAGAGGAGAAGACAATCTCCAACCACACTCCTGAGCCCTGTGTTTCCTTTACAGAGAGCCTGCTGGCCTTGCCACCTCCCCAGGTCCCTACCTGGAGTGTGACAGGCCACCCGGATAAGATTCTAGGACTCAGCCCTTCTCTCTTCAGCTCCCCAAGCAAACTGCTGCCAGAACAGATCTTGGAGGATGACACCATGTTTCTGACTCAAGGTGAGCCTCTGGGGCAGGACCAGACACTTAGTTCATTTACAAATCATGGAGACCCCACTAGGTGCTCAGGCCTGTGTGGGCCATGCTGGTAACCTAGCCGTGAGTCTGCTCAGGACCTGACTCCAGAAGCGACGGGCCAGCACAGGGGTATCACAGGCTGTGTGGCAAGAGCAAGGCTCCAGGAGCCTGATGCAGAGAGCCCCACACTGTCCAAAAATGGAGGGGCTCCAGGGGAGCTGGCCTGAGAGGGGACTCGGACATGGAGTGGGAGACCTCAAAGCAGAAAGCTGGAGAGGGAGACTCCAGCTGCCAGGGAGAGCAGGGTGAAGCACTGGCTGAAGCATTTCCTTTCTAGCAGCCCTCTGGTCCCTGACAGGTCTCTTTGAAGAGGTGCTCTTAGATTCTGAGTCTCCACCTTCTGCTTGTGTGCTTGCAGCTCCTCAGGAGAAGGTAGGCTCTGTCCACCCACACCCTCCTCATGTGTGACTCCCGTACCCTGCCCTCAACCTTAGGGCCCCAGCCAGCCCACTCTCTGTCCACTCCTGCCTGTGTTCCTCCTCATCCCCCCAGCCTCACTGCCCTCTGTGTCCTGCCCTCCTTGATTACTCGATGCACCCACAAAGGCCTGCGTGATGGTGTAGCTGCTCATAAACCAGGGTGCTCATGGCCTCATTTTATAGACACAGATACTAAAATTTGCAGAGAGACCCCAAGAATCCTCAGTCAGAATAGAGGCCAAAACCAGGACTGCCTCCTGCCAGGCCCTGGCCAACCTTGCAGCCCTGCATACTCCAGGAGGCCAGTGTCTGAGAGGCAGCCCCAGCTCCAGCCCCTTCCTCCAGTGTTGCCTCACTGAGTAGCTGAATTGGCAGCAGAAACAAAAACAGACGCCATCAGCAGAGCTCTTAGCGCCAGTGCCACAAGATGTGTTTCTCAACCCTGCAAGGCCTGTATTGTGACCACTCTGTCATAGAGGAAATGGATGCTCAGGGAAGTTAAGACTTGTCCAGAGCACCACAGATGCTGAGCGATAAAGAACTAAGGGAGTGAGGAGGTCCTGCCCCAGAGCAAGCAGGAGGCCATGACTGGGCCCATCCAGCCCCTCTATTCCCTATGGGAACTTCGGACATCCAATGTCCCAAGGGCTGCAAAGATGGATGAGGGTTTCTAACATTCAAGTTATGCCCTGGAAAAACCAGTGCATGGGAAGATGCCCCCCCATCTTTCTTTTATTGTGCCCCAGGATTCCCCCTCTAGGGCCCCCGAAGTACCCCCTGACTTCTACAGCCTGTGCCAGTCCTCAGTGTTCTTGGACCACTGCTACCTCTCCCTGAGTGACAACAGCAAGGCGCTGTCCAGCCCCAGCTCTGAGGACACTGACACAGATTCCCTGTGGGAACAGGAAGAGGTGAGGGATGGCCACCTAATGAGGCTGGGTGGGCCTCTCCTGCCCTCGCTCACCTCTCTGCCTCCCTCAGGACACTCAGGCTGACCCCGAGGACTCACAGTCCTCCAATGATGAGGATGACGACTACACATGGACCCCCAGCCAGCGGGCCTCCACCCTGCCTGCCCCTGGGAGGAGGGCCAGGAAGGGCCCGGCCAGCAAGGGCCTCGTGAAGCCCAAGGAGAGCAAGAAAGCCCCCTGCCCCACCAAAGTGAAAAAGAAGTGTGTCAACGGCTTCATCATGTTCTGCAGGATGAACCGGAAGCCGTATATTCGGTGGGTGGGGGTCCTCAGTGTCCCTTGTAAGGGCCCTACCCTACCTTTATTGTCTGAACCCCCAGGCCATCTGGCCCCCCAGTGCTGTGGGACCATTTGCCCCTTCTTGGAGCCCACTGACCCTTCCGCAGCCACCTTTCTCCCAGACCTTTGTACCGGCAGGGGCTTCCACTGTGTGCAGGGCAACCCAACTCAAATCTCAGACCGGAGGGGAAAGGAAGCTAATAGGCTCCGATAAACTCAAAGCAAACGCTGGGTGTACTTCCTTCAGATGCACCTGGTTCTGGGCTGGAACTGTCTGCCTGGGATCTCTGCACCTCTCTCTAAGCCAGCTTCATTCTCCAGCATGTTGGTGGCAGAGTCGTGCCCAGGAGCACCTGGCTGAGGTTCTGTCTGCTACTCTAGCAGCCTCCCAGAGAAGGACAGACAGCTCTTGTCTCTAAAGTTTCAAATAAATGTTCTTGAAGTCAACTCTGATAGGTCAGGCCCAACCCTGATCTAGTCACTTCGGGACCAAAGCCAGGGGCTGGGGAGGCCACAGCACAGGACAGCTGGCTCCTTCCCAGGAGGATCAGGTGCTGGTTGGGGGAGCAGCAGCTACAGGGCCCCATGCTCCCCTTCAGCCCGGGGTACTCCCTTGAGAACAGCCATTTAAAGCACATTTCCCAACTTGAAGCCCTCAGTCCTGGAGGCCTTGCCAGCCAGCAGGCACAGGGACAGGAACCCTTGAGTGGTCCTATCCTTGGCCCCCACCCAAGCCAGTGTCCCCTACAGGCCTCCCCTGACCTCTGTTCTTCTTCCTTCCTGGCCCAGAGCCTGCCCTGGGACTGCGTCCACAGCTGCCACCAGGGAGCTGGCCCGGCTGTGGCGGGTGATGACCCAGAAGGAGCGGAGACCATACTGGTGAGAAGCCTCTGCCCAGCCAGATATTCAGATATTTAAGACTGACTTGGGAATGACATAGGTGCAGAGGTGCCACCTTGAAGCTAAGGAGCAACAGCTTCATTGGGACTTGGACCCATTTGCCCTGTTCCTTTTGCCTTCTCCGCCAAGTGGAGTTAGCCCCTCAGAGCTTGGCCTCTCTGATCCCGAGCCCCTTGGTCCTCTCCACCAAGTCCAAGGAGCTGGTGCCTGCCTGTGTCTGAACTGGCACCTGAAATATGTGGGTTTCCCACTCGCCAGCCTCGTCCAGGAGTGTGGGCTCTAGCAGAGGCCCATTGGCTGAGTCCAAGAGTCTTACGAGATCAGGACTTAAGGCTAAAACCCTGGCCTCCCCCTTGGGCCTCGAGCTGGTGGGCTCTGAGGCCAAAGGGTTGGGGTGGGACACAGATGGGGGAGGTGAATGCGGATCTGTCCTGTCTGGCCCCGTCTCCCCCCAGCACCAAGGCTCGCAGGTTCAGCCGCCAGCACAACCGCATCGTGAAGCAGGACAGCTCCAACAGTGAGAATGAGGACTGGGAGACTCCCAAGCCCTTCTACCAGCTGCTGGCTGAGAAGGCGCGAGTTTCCTCGGACTTAGCCTCGGCGCCACCCCCTCACCGTGACTGAGAGGGTGGAACTCCACACACACACACCCGCAGTTCCTACAGCCTTGTTTGAAACCAGGAGCCAGCGATGGCCAGGTTGTCCCCACTCCCGCCTCAGCCCCTGCTGTTGTAGGGCCAGGCCAGTTCCCAGGGACTGAGAATGAGTTGTTATTTATTTGCGCTTTGCCTTATGCATGCAGGGGCACTGGCCTTCTCACAGCCCCTCTCCACCCTTCGGTCAGCAGGAGCCCCAGGGTGGGTGGAGGAAACCCTAGAAGAAATGCAGGAGGGGAAGTTCCTGAGCAGAGGCTCCCACCACCCGTCCTCTCCCTCCAGATCAACTGGTCTTCATTCACACCTCACCTCCCTTCCAGTTCTATTTAAAGACTATTTATTGTTTTAATCAAAATAAAGCAAGTGGAACCCTTGTTATCAGCAAGGGAGACAAGGCCAGGTTCCCCCTTTGTCCCCCTGCACCCTCACCCAAGGGTGTCCTCCCCCCAAAACCAACCCAGGCCTGCAGTTTGAAATACACCTCACTGCCCACAAGGTCCCAGCCCACAGGCCTCAGCTCAAACTCATCCCCTCAGGAAGCGGTGGCCAGAAGCCACCCTCGAAAACTGGGCTTCTGTCCTTCAGTTTTCTTTCAGGCAAACCTTTGCAAAGTGAGCCCCACTCCCGGCAGTTCTGTTGTCTGTTACCTTTAATTGAAATGGAGGCATAACATGTCCTAGAAAAATAGAGATTTAGGATACAAACTAGACACAGGGGTCAGGGTTGCCTCAGGAGTGAGGCCATCTTTGGTCTGGGGCTGGAGGTGATCATGGGGGCTCGAGTCCAGGGTACCAAGGAAAGACCCTGCCCTCCCAGGAGGGCCAAGCTGGGAAGGTTTCAGTCCTTGGACCCAGGACTCCATTCTCCACCCTAGATTCCAAGCAGTTCCGAGCATACCGCTATCAGCAGAGCTATTAATAGTGTTAGGATCGAGGGCCATCTGGCAGGTCTGCAGCTCATAGCCAAGTACCAGGTGGAGGGCAGAGCCCCTGAGTCGGGACCCCAGGTCCCCTTTATATAGCAGGGCAGGGCAGGAGAGGGTTGTAACAGAAGTCCTCCCACCCAGAGAAGGACAGTGCCCCATTCAGGGGCAAATCCCCCTGGTACCTCTAGGACTTGGAGAGGTTCCCCGGGCTGGAAGGATGTAGTGTGGAGGGACCTTCAGGTCATGACAAGTGTCTTTCTGAAGAGTCCCTTCTCCCCCATCTGTCCCTGCATCTTGAGCACCATTGTCAGGAGAGGCATGAGTGAGGCTGGCTGGTCACAGTTCCAAGGGCTCCTCTACAGGCACTGACTGCAGCTGAGTCAGAACCTTGGCCTCTGCTTCTAGCCCCTCGTCAACCTCGGCCGCTGCGTTGGCCCCTAGGAGCAGCCCCTCGGGGTCAGGGCCCGGCAGCCTCAGCACAGCATGGGGGACCTGTGTCTCCAGCCCCTTTTCTGCATCTAGCAGTCCCTCTGCTCCTGTGCTCAGTTCTAGCCCTGCTGACCAGACAGGCACAGCTGCAGGTGACAGCATCAGACCCTCTGCCGGAGGTGCTGGGAAGCTGGGCAGGAGGCTGGAGGACTCCGAGGAGAAAGGCAGGCTGGCCACAGAGGTGGCCACAGTGGGTGGTGGCGGCACCTGAGCAGAAAGTGTGCCCAAGGCATGGGCCTCTGGGAGTGCGGGGCTGGGGACCACCGGGAGGGCTCCTTCAGGGACGGAGATTGTCGTCTCTGGCTTCAGGGGAAGGGCCAGGCTGGGGGCTGGTGGCAGGACCTGGGAAACCAGCATGCTAGTGGGGAAGGTGGCAGTGAGGATGATCTTCCCCTGCTGCACTGCCACACCTGTGACAATGGGGCTGCCGGATACAGGGTTGGCCAGGAGGAAGTTTCCTGTGGGGAGAGGAGATAGTCAGGACCAGAAGCAGCAAGTGGAGCCCCTCAGGGTGAAGCCAAGTGATGCTAAGCCTGGCACAGAGGGCACAGGGACATGCCAAAGATTGTTTCCCCTCCCCTAGCTCCTCCCAGAGGCCTGAGGGAGGAAGGAGGAGGTACCTGGGGCAGTGGCCGAAGGCAGCTGTAGGGCAGTCACGCCCACCCCAGAGTTTATCAGGTGCACATTGGCAGGGCCCGCTGCAGCTGCCACCTTCACAGGGCTGCCTGGGCCAGCTGCCAACAGCTGCAGTGGCCCCATGGCCTGGGGCAGGGTCACCACCTGGGAAGTAGGCACCACCTGGGGCAGGTTCAACAGTGGGGAAGTGGCACCCAGGCCTGTGGGATACCCAGGGGGTGGAGACAGTGGCACCACCTGGGGGGCAGCCACCGTGGGCACTGGTCCTGGGGGCAGAGAGAAGTTGGCTGCAGATGGGGGGCCAGGTACCACTTGGGGCAGGGGCCCTGAGACCTCCTCTCCAGTGGGCAATGAAGCAGCCACCTGGGCCCCTTTGGTCTCAGGGACCTCAGATGGAGCCTCTTCCAGCCGAACCTCACCGGTCTGAGGGTCCAAGACCAGGGAGGTCTTGGCTTCGCTGGTGCCCTGGGGACTGGGCTGTGGAGGAGGGGCGGCCCCTCCGCCTGTCAGCAGCAGGGGGCCCAAGCTGGAGGCCTCGCCCAGGGCCAAGCTGTTGATGATGACAGGGCTGCCGTTGAGGAGCACTGTCGGGGAGCTACTGGCAGCCAGGAAGCTCCCGTTCACCAGGATGGAGGAGGAGGCAGGGCATGGAGCTGGAGGAGTGGGCCCCCCCAAGAATATGGAGCTCTGGGTGGGGGCCTCAGCAGCCACGGTGGCCACTCCACTCTCCAGGTCCTCAGGACTTCGGCTGGACTCATCTTCAGTAGTGGGGTTCCCATCAGACTCACTGGTGGAGAAAGGGTTGTTAGGCTGTGGTCCTGAAAGCTGCCCTCCCCCAGGGGCAGAGGCAGACCACTACCACCCACGTGCCCCCCAAGCTTTTGAGGCCGATGTCAGGGGTCACAGAACCTCCTAAGATCGCCCAAGGGCCCCGTGTTGCTCTACAAGTCCAGGGTTGACTGACAGCGCTGCGGAGAGTTAAAGCTGGCACGACGCGCAGAGAGGAGCCCCTGCTCTCCCTCGGCCTGCCAACGAGCACCCGGGCTGCCCTGTAACTGCCCGGAGTCCCCCGGGGCCCGAAGGCGTGTGGCCAGGAGAGAGGTGGTGGCGCCCGCTCAGTTCCCCGAGTCCGACTCCAGAGGCGTCAGAGAAGGGAGCAGCTCGAGAGGCCCAGAGGCCGGGCCGCACTATGTGGGAGGGGAAGGGCTTGGGTTACAGGGAAACCGGAGCAGGGAAGGTTCACGTTTCACAACAAAGGCAGGCGACGGACCACGCTGTCCTGGCCGAGGGGGTGTGGGGGTGGGGAGGAGTAACAGTCGGGCAGCGGCTGAGCCGCCCAGGGCCCCAGACTGCGGCCGCTACCCGGGGTGCGGTGGGAAAGGCCCTTCCAAACCCTTTCCATGGCCCCCACATTCTCACTGTCGACCCCCACCGTGGGTCCGGGACACAGACGGGTTTGAGATGGAGCTCACACTGCCTTGCCGGCCAGGTGACCCAGGGACAGAGCCCAGGGGAAGCCTGAACACCTCGCTCGGTCCCCAAGCCCCGCGGGCTCGAGGGTGTGAGAGGCGGTGTCCGGTCCCCGGAAAGGCAGGACGTGCGCCGCCCGGGTCCCCTCACCTCTTGCAGGGAGCGCCGCCGCCAGCCCCGGTTCGGTCGCGCTGTCGCCGGTTCTTGAACCAGTTGCTGACCTGCGTGAGCGAGAGGCCGGTGAGCGTGGCCAGGCGGCGCTTCTCGTCCGGGGTCGGGTAGCGGTTGCCGCGGTAGCAGGCCTTGAGCGCGGCGCGGGAGCGCTCCTTGAAGCAGTAGACGGTCTCCTCGCCGTCCCAGATGGTCTTGGGCAGCGGGAACTTCTTGCGCAGTCGGTATTTGTCCACTGCGCCCAGCGCGCGGCCGCGGGCCCGCTCAGCCTCATGGTAGCGCGCGCGCAGGTAGAGGTCCTGCAGGAAGGCGTGGTGGGCGGCGGGGAAGGGCCGGCTCTCGAGGAGCCGGTAGAGCTCGGCGTACTCGCCCCTCTGGAAGGCCACCAGGGCCCGCGCGCGCAGCACCGGGTCGCTGCCACGTAGGCGCTCGGCCGGGGGCAGCGCGCCCAGGAAGCGGCTCAAGCGGCCGGCGTGGCCCGCCTGCAGCAGCGCCTCGCACACGCACGCCACCTGCTCTGGCGAGAAGCGGAGGCCCGAGGGCGGCTCGGCAGCGGCCTCGGGGGGTGACCCGGGGACGCCCGGGGACCCCGAGTCCTCCGCTCCCGCAGCCGCTTCGCCCGCCCCGGCCCCGGCCGCCGCCGCCGCCTCACCCTCGGCCGCCTGCAAAGTCTGCAAGAGCTGGCGTGCTTCCTCCTCCTCCTCTTCGGTTGCCGCCGCCACCGCCTTCCCCCCGGCCGCCGGCCCAGCGCTCGGCTCAGCAGGCAAGGTAGCCATGTTTTGCAACTTTGGGAAGTTCCTCCCTCCTTCTCCTCCTCCTCCCTCGGGCTTTCCCCAGCCCCCTCCCCCACCCCCACCCCGCTGCCCAGTCCCCCCCTCCGAAGGCCTGACCCAGCGCTCCACTCGGGCCTCTGTCCCTGTGTCTCTGTGTGTCCGTCCCCCTCCCCGTCTGTCCTGGATTCTCCCTTTGTTTTCCCTCCGCCTCTAGCCGCGCTTTCTGCTTCCCCCCGCGTGTGCCTCTGGCTTAGGGCCTCAATTTCCCCATCGGGACCACAGAGAAGGTAACGGGCCGTCCAGGAGGCCTAAGGGCGCGAAGCCACCTCCGCCCAGAGACTGAGCTGCTGCACGCCTCCGTCTCCAGGGTCCTCAGAGGGCCCCCTCCCACTCCCCATCTCGGCGCGCGCTCCGCCCCTCGGAATTCCCGGCTCCACAGGGGGGCGGGTCTGGCAGGGAGGAGGGGAGGGGGAAACTGGCTAGAAAGTTTGCAGCAACTTTTCTTGAGCGTGAGTCCCGGGAGCGGATGCGCGTGGCCTGCGCAGGCGCAGTACAAGGAGGATGGCGGGGTGCGCTGTCTGCCCAGCCCCCTTCGTCTGGACGCTCCAGTGGCACAGCTGGGCCACAGCTGGGTGGGGGCGGTGCCTCCCGATGGGCTGGCCCTCCCTCTCCTATTGGCCAGATGGTGAATCCCCGCCCCCATCTTTTCCTCCTCCTACTGTGATTCGCCCGCTTTGCGTCCCGCTAGCTGCCCAACAGGCCATTGGCCAATCGCATTCGCCTCCTGATTGGTGCACTGGCAGCCTCCTCCCCACCACGCTTACAGAGAGACACCCCGGAGGCTGGAGCTTTGGAGAGACTACCGAGCCTTTTATTCTCGAGGGTCGGGGGTGGGGTTCTAGGTGGGGACAGACAATAAATACTGAGGAATGTCGAGTCTCAGTGCATCCAAAACGTGGATTAGGGTGATGGGGTCCGGGAGCCTGTCAGTGGGTCGGAGGACAGGGTCAATAAATATTCAAGCCACGGAGGCCGAGGGAGCCGGTTGCGGCTCCGAGAGCAGTGTGAGAAAGGGACCGCAGGAGTCCCCGAAAAAGCAGGGCTGGCAAAAGCACAAGATCCCCCGGAGCAGGCGGAGGCCGCCCTGAACGTTAGCCTCAGGAATAGCTCGTCCCCCCCGCTAGGGGGATTTGTGGTTTGCAAGCCGATGGTGGGTGGGTGTGTGTAGGGTGACGATCGGGTGGCTGCGCCCGCCCTGATGCCTCCTTAGGACCCAGTTCGCCCATCCACGGCAGAGCCTCAGACCCGCGCGAGCCCGTTCGCTGGCCACAAACCCGCTCCTCCTTCCCCGGCCGCCAGGGGGCGGGCCCGGATCACGGGATCGGAGCTGGGCGCGGACTCACGCGCCAAGTGGGTAGGCGGGGACGCGGTGGGAGCGTCTTCTACGGTCCCCGGGTCGCTCAACCCTCCAATTGGGCCTGAGTCGAGGACGGTCTGGGGTTCTAGGGTTCAGGGGGCGAAGGCTGCTCCCGGGCAACGCCAGGCTGGGGTGAGATGGCCCGCGTGGGCCACCAACCCAAAGCAGCCCAGGGCGGTGGCACAAACCAGAACAGCGGCGAACAGGAGCAGGCTACACGCCTCGGATAGGCCAGGCCTAGGGACCTGCAGGCGAGAGGGCGGGGTCAGCACACGGCCAGCGGGCCCCAGATTGGCTCCTGGGAGTCATCTGCCTACATCCATAGATGGACCCACAATCCCCCACCCGCGCCCGCCCCTCACAGCGGAGGGTCGGCCAGCAAGCCTGAAATTCCGTCGGACCCCTCATTGGCTGCTTCCTAGCGGCCCGCGGTGATTGGCTGCCCGAGCACCCTCCCTCCCCGCAGTGGGCTGGGCCCAGCAGAGGCGCTATTAAGCTGTGGCTGCCCGGAGGTGCGCGATGCTAGGCCGGGGCGCGGCGGGCGTGGGACGTACCCTGGCAGGGAGCAGCAGGTGGCGGCGGAGCATGGGGCCTGGCCCCACCAGCGGGCACTGGCCCAGAGCCACGGCCGGGGGGCCATCTAGCTGGAGAGAGAAGGGACAGGTGACCGGATCGGAGCCCAAACTAGCCCAGCCGCCCACGGCGGGGGGCGAAGGGCAGCAAGGGGAATCGAGGCCAGGAAGGGAATCTCTGAGGATCCGAAAAGGATCCGTTGAAAGCCCTGAACCGAGGAGAATCTGATCGATGTGGGGCTGAATGGCGTCTGCCTTCTGGAGCCCCAAAGAAGTAGGGTGAACCCTAAATCTGGACGAGGAGACAGGGAGGGGGTAGCAGGCCTGAGGCAGGGGAAAGAAAGGGGTCTTACATGGGAAAGTGCATCCGTGGCCCGGGGACTGGGGACCCCCGTGACAGCTGGAAGGAGAAGAGAGGCAGATGGCGCGTGGAGGGGCGGAGGAGGGCGGTGGTGCGGCGTGCCCCAGCCTGGGCCCCTGCCCTCCCACGGTGTCGCACACAGGCTCTGCACCCGGGGGAGCAGGGTGGCGGGGGACTCGCCTGCGGCTCCCGGGGCCTGCAGCAGCTCCATCCGCTCCTGTAGCTGCCGAACATGCGCCTCTAGGTCTCGGTTCCGGGCTTCAGCCTCGAGTAGCTGACTGCGAGGCGACACAAGAGTGACCCCAGGAGTCTGAGCGAGAGGGGGCTGCAAGGGCACCAGGGGGCCCCGCGCCCGACCCGACCTGGCGAAGCTCTGGTTGGTGGTGCGGATGGCCTCCAGCTCCCGGCTCAGGCTCTGCCTGGTGCGAACCTCCTCCTCCAGGGCTTCCTGGAGCTCCCGCAGTGTCACCTCCTCCCCTGCCGCTGTCTCCTCTGCTGCAGGGACAGCTGGTGGATCTGGCACTTCAGCCTGTGTGTGAGGACCTGGTTTAGGGTCGCCTGGGTCCTTGGAGCACTAGGGCTTGTCCACACCCCCGCCACAGCTCATGTGGGAGCCAGGGAGGCCCCTCCCCCGTCTCCAGGCTTTAGTCTGGTCCCCTCCTGTCCACACAGGAACCCCTGTGACTTGCCCCCCCACCCCAGCTCCCCAAGCTCAGGACGGCCTGTTTTACCAAGAGCCCTTGCTCAGTTTGCCTCCTGCTGATTGCTGTGGCTTCCCCTCCCCTTATCCAATAACATAGGACTCTGCTGTTACTTGAAGATCAAAGCAGCGTCCACTTCTGGGCCTCTGCCCTGAGCTTCTCCACCGGCCACAGGCCTCTTTCCTCCCTGTGGCTGGCTCCGGTGTTACTACTGTGTGGCCCACTCCCATTCCTTGTGGTGACCAGGCCTTGCCTGAAGAAGCCTCATCTCCCTCCTTTTCTGGCTACTTCTGTCCAGTGTCCTTGCAGAGGGCTTACCACTGCCCAGCATGCGACACCCAGGAAGCCCTGCCTTTCTCTCCTATCTGTCCCTGGCCAGCCCTCTCCTCCACCTACTCACTGTTTCTTCTGGTGGGTACACTGTGGGCTCCACACTGGGCACTTGCACATGTGGCTCAGGCAACTGCTGGGCCTCCAGTTCCATGGGTGTGGGGTCTGGGACCTCATTGTCCCTGGGGAAAGAAAGGAGAAAGGGAGAGCCAGAGCCACACCAGAAGGTGCCTGGCCATCCAGGCCTCCTGAGCCTGTGGGTAGGGGGCAGTGGCCCCCAAGATCCCACTGTTAGGAGGGACAGGGGCAAGACCAGTTGCCAGGTTGGGTGGCAGGCCCTCTTCTGGCTAGAAAACACCTGGGAGCTGCCCTGTCTGTGGAAACTTGAGGCCCAGACACCCGTCTTTTAGGTCTTCTGGTCTTGTTTTTGTTTGTTTGTTTGTTTTGTTGTACTGGGGATCAAACTCAGGTCCTTGCCCTTGTACAGCAGGCACTGAAACCACTGAGCTAAATCTCAAGCCCTCTTTTGGTCTTTTTTTTTTGGTACCAGATCTTCTGGTCTTCTTGACATCACCTGTTCATGCCCCTCTCCTTTGGGCTTCAGAACAGAGAGTGGGACCTGATGAGGGAGACCCTGCCCAGCTCTAGAAACCTCCAAAGATGTGAGGTTTTTTCTGCCTCTGTGCGTGTGTGTGTGTGTGTGTGTGTGTGTTACTGGGATTGAACCCAGGGCCTTCACACTGAGCTACAGCTCCAGACATTTTTTTTTTTTTAGTTTTTATTTTGAGACAGGGTCTCTCTAAGTCACTAAGTTGCCCAGACTGGGCTCAAAATTATGATCTCCCAGGGCGGGGATTTAGCTCAGTGGCACCACACCTGCCTGGCAAGTACAAGGTCCTAAGTTCGGTTCCTGGTACCAGAAAAAAAAAATTATGATCCCCCTCCTCAGCCTCCCAGAATGCTGGGATTACAGGTAAATGCCACCACACCCAGCTCAAAGAAGTCTTAAATCTTCTGAACTTGTAATCCCAGCACTAGGAGGCTAAGACAGGAGGACTGCCGTGAATTTGAGGCCAGCCTGGGCTACATAGTGAGTTCAAGGCCAGCCTGGACTACACAATGAGACCCTATCTGGAAAAAAAAAAAAAAAAAAATTATAATGTAGGATCCTAAAACTTGTGACTCTAGATCAGGATACCCTTTATACCCCATGGCTGAGAGGGGCCAGACACTCCCTAGGAGTATGAAATTGCAATAAAAGTGGTGTCCCTTCCAACACAGCAGTCCTACATATGGGAAGGTCCCCAGGACCTGTTTATCCTTCTCCTTATCCATGTTTTCTAATTAAACATTATCTTTTTTGTATAACTGATTTTTGTTTTGTTTTGTTTTTGTTTCTGGTACCAGTGATCAAACTCGGGACCTTGCAGTTGTGAGGCAGGAGGAGGAACCACTGAGCTAAATCCCCGGCCCCCTGATGTTTTTAAAAGGTTTTATTGGTAGATGAGTGATTTAATGAGCTTGTGTTAAAATTGATTATAAAAGTCTAAACTTGGGCCAGGGATTTAGCTCAGTGGTTCTGCCCCCTGCCTCACAAGTGCAAGGTCCTGAGTTTGATCCCCAGTACCAAAAAAAAAAAAAAAGTCTAAACTCATTTACTAAGATTCTGAGGCCCCATGACTCTGTGCACTTGAAATGTAAAAGTCAATAGCTGCAAGATTCTCGAAGGCCAAAGCTGGGGATCTGAGGGTTTACGGTTCAATCCACAATTGAATTTATAATTGAATCTATGGGTCCCTAAGAGCGCTCAACCCCAAGACTGACCCTGCAGACCTCCTGGCTGCCCCGGAGCCTCCACACAGGGCTGCTTACCTGAGGGCCAAGCAGGAGTAGGAGAAGCCCACAAAAGGCAGGTGCACCCCCAGTGGTATGCCTTCCTGCATGTCCGACAGTGTCTCCTACACAAGACATACAGATGTGACCAGCAGCTGTCAGCTTTCTGGTCCTGGCTTAAATGCCCCTCCAACCCACCCCAGCTCAGGGATCATCTAAAATAGCCCCTCTAGCCAGGTATGGTGGTGCACCTTGTAATCCCAGCACTCAGGAGGCTGAGGCAGGAGGATCACCATGAGTTCAAGGCCAGCTTGGGCTACACAGTGAGTTCAAGGCCAGCCTGAACTACACGCTGAGACTCTCTCAACAAAGCAAACAAACAAATAAATAAATAAAATGGCTCCTCCATCATTTTTTAGTGTTTTGTTTTTTGTTTTTTGGTACGGGGGATCAAACTCAGGTCCTTGTTAAACCACTGAGCTAAACCCCAAGCCCTTTTTAGTGTATTCTATTGCATGTCCTCAGGGTCCTTGGTAGACTAAAATTACTCTTGAACCCAGGCCCTTCAAAATGAGTGACGTTGTCAGCCCATTTTTTTTTTTTTTTTTTTTTTTTTTGAGACAGATTCTCACCGTGAGGTTTCACGGGGTCTCACTTGCCCAGGCTGGGCTCAAACTTGCACTCCTACTGCCTCAGCCTCCCAGAGTGCTGGGATTACAGGTGAGCACCATCATGCCCCGGGGTTATTATTCCTTCCTTAGACTGTAGGTGGATCAGGTGTCACAGAGACCAGGGCTGACTTGGTCAGTGCTGTGTCCCCTAACTGCCCAGCCCAAAGGCATTCCAGGAGAGCTTGCTACGGGAAGAGGGAAGGCTTAGACACTGCTCCTGCAGGAAGCCCCCCAGCAACTTCCGGGTCAAGAGCCCCACCAACCCCTCTCAGCCCAGTTCACTCTGGGGCCTCCCAGGCTCCCGGCTGTACTGAGTCAGGTCACACTGGGCCTGCACTGGGTGCTCTAGGGAATGAAAGCGAGGCGGACCATCATCGGGGAGACGGAGGGGTGGGCAGGTTCCCTCAGCCGAGCAGGAGCCGCAGGTACCTACCCCGCCCCCGCTCACCATGGCAGTGAGCCCATCCTCCACCACATCGAAGTTGCATGTGTCGGTGGCACCCTCGAAGTCCGGTGTGAAAGGGGGCACGCTGTCACGAAGACCTTCCCAGTCTAGGCCAAAGAAGAAAGGATGCTTCCGGAAATCCTCCGCTCCATCCCGGCCCAACCGAATTTCCGGGGGACACAGCAGCCCCTGGATGAGGTCCCGAGCCTCCTCGGGGACCCCCATGTCTGCAAGCGGCAAAGACAGGTGCTCCTGCTCGAAAGGAAGAGGGACAGAGAGGTCGGCCTGGGTGCCCTGCGGAGACGGACAGGCTCCTGGGGCCTGCGCTCACCTTGTAGTGCACGATTTTGCCGTAGGTCTCAGCCGTGGAGTCCGCGTAGAAGGGCGTCTGACCATAGAACATTTCGTAGGCGAACACACCCAGCGCCCACCAGTCACACTCTGGCCCGTAGCTGCCTGTCCCAGGTCCGCCGCCCACAGCCTGCAGGATCTCAGGAGACAAGTAGTCCGGGGTGCCCACAGCCACCAACGACCGCACCTGCACGGACAGGACCAGAGCTGGGCTCCAGCCCGGCCCTCCTGGCCACGCCTCCAATAACTCCTCCCCCTCACCTCGAAGCCCAGGACCAGCTTCTGGACCTCGCTCCCCTTTTAGGTCGAGCCCCGCCCCACACCGCACCCACTTGCCCTCTCGCGGCTCACCGTTCCATCCTCCCGCAGCTTTAGGCAGGAGCCAAAGTCCGCCAGGCGGATGTGGCCGCAGCGGTCCAGCAGGATGTTATCTGGTTTGATGTCCCTGCGAGGAGTGAAGACGGGAGGAATGAGTGAGCCCCCAGAGCACTATCCGGTCAGGCTTTGCCCCTCTGAACAGTTCAGCCCCTGCGGGGATTCTACCATTCTGGACCTCACACCGAGCCCTCGCTTCCGGGGGTCCCAACCAACGTGCTCCTTCTCTAGGTCCTGTTCCCTCCGGGCTCCAGCCTCTGAGGCACTTATCCCAGGCACGCGCCGCTATCCCTCTCTGGGCCCCGCCCCTGCCCCGCCCCTCAGCCCCTGCCGCGCCCACCTGTGCACATAGCCCAGCCGGTGCACTGAGTCTATGGCCATGACAATCTCGGCCAGGTAGAAGCGCGCCATCTCGGCCGGGATCCGCTCCCCAAACTTGCTCAGCAGCGTTAGCAGGTCCCCGCCCACGTAGTATTCCATGACCAGGTACTGGGAGGGGCGTGTCATTGGGGTCAGTAGCCTCCCTAGGCGCCCATCGCTGATCACCAAGGGCAGAGACTCCCAGAGAGAGAGAGACGCCCCATCCCTGGGCAGAGGCCCCGCAGTCTGGTACCCGAGAGAGCCGTGAGAGCTTCAAGGCCCAATCAGAGATTCTCCCTAAAGACGCCTCTCCCGGGATGTCACTGGACAGAGACTCAGTCCCTTCGAGACATCCAGGGGAAAATAGAACCCAGAGACCTCCCAACACCTAGAGGATAGACCCCAGATGCTCTGCCCAAGCAGTGGCCCGCACACGCGAGAAAGCTCCCCCGTTCCAGTTAAGAGCTTCCTCCAACAGAGGGATCTTCGCATAAGAGACCCCGGAATCAGCCAAAAAAACAGCAGTAAAGTGCATCACCTCCCCATTCTAGATTTTTTTAAATGACCCCTCCTCTACCTGAGACAGATCCTGCCAACACACAGAGTCCCATGCAGGCATTTGGGGGCAGCTAATCCAAACTTACAACTTCCTCTCTCTACCCCGGCCGTGTTAAGGTCGGGGGCGGGGGGCAGCCTTCCTAGTCACCGGGCCAGGAGCTCACCAGGTAGTTCTCGTCCTGGAAGGCGAAGTGCAGCTGCGTGATCCAACGGCGGTCGCCGTTCACCAACACGTCCCTCTCTTCGCGGAAGCACGACACCTGCACAGCAGTGGAGGAGCTGAAGAAGGTGAGAGGAGCAGATCCCCAGCTCCACCACACCCAGCCCAGGCCTCACCTCGCCTCTCTTCAGCATGTCCCACTTATTCATGATCTTCATGGCGTACACCTGGCCCGTCTGCTTCATCTTCACCACCGCTACCTAAAGGCGAAACAAGGGAACAGCAAGGAAGTGGCCAGAAAAACAGAAGAGCCACCCAGACTGGACTCCCCGCAAACTTTAACCAGCCGTGGCCCCGCCCCGGACACACCACTCCCATTGGCCCAAGCCCCACCCCCAGCCCAGCCTCAGGTTCTAACTCATTCATCAATTTTAAGCCCCTCCCCAGCTCCTATGCCCCGCCCGCCTCCACAAGCGTTCCAGCTCCGCGGCCACTCAGGACTCACCTCGCTGAACGCCCCGCGTCCAATTACTTTCAGAATCTCAAAGTCATCCCTCTGCAGTCGGATCTCCTTAAGCCTGGCCACAATGGGCTCCGCTGGGTGTGGTGGGGGTAGAGGAAGAACGGAGGGTCACTGGACAGACACTGGAGATGAGGGCCTGACCTTCAGTCTCCCCTTCTCTCTGTTTCTTAACTTTCCTTTGGGACTGTCTGCTCCCCGAGGCTCTCCCACAAAAACACCATGTGAGTTTTCTCCCCTCTCAAGAAGCCTAGGAACCCGTTTTAGATATAGGGCATTGGGCACGAGGGCTCCAATGGGACAAGAGTAACATCTGCAGAATAGGCCTTGAATAAACTCGGTCCTTAGACCTCCCTGCGCCTCAGGCCTCCCACTCCCACTCTCCCACCCCTGAAGTTCCTTTCTCCCGAGTCTTGGGTTTCAGCCCAGAAATGCCGTGCACCCAGCGCTTCCAGAGTGAGATTCGGGTGGTTTATTTTTCGGAAAACACTGAGTTTGGGCCCAAGAGAGGATTTGGAGTCTCGGCCAGCACTACGCAGCCTGAGCACTGCTGGGAGTGGCTCTCTGTTCTCCCCAGGAGGCTTCCCTTGCAGAGACCATCAGCTGCAGAGGCTAAAAGCCTACAGCTAGGACACGGAGTGCACAGTTCCAGAGGGGGACCGGTCAGGTGGAGGCTGGAGACTCGGGGACAGTGGGGAGAGAAAGACCTGGCCTTGAGGTAGAGGAAGACAGGCTTGGGAGGCAGGATGGAGGAGGATGGTGCAGGCAGGGAAGAGAGGACATGGAGTGGGCTATGGAGACAGGGGGTTCTGGAACGTGGGCGGGCGGGAAGAACCAGCCAGGGCCTAGGATGGGGGAGGGAGGAGAGAGCCAAGACGTTGAGCCCTTTTAAGGCAGCGGGAACCCAGGCCCCCTCCCCCGCCCCGGGCCTGGCAGGGGAGGGGCCGCAGGATGCAGCTCAGGCCACAAAAGGACTGCTCCTTCCAGGACAGCTGCAGCCCTGCCCCCACCCCAGGCCTCAGTTTACCCCGACAGCCCAGCTTCATTCTCTGCAAAAGTGAGGCCAGGAGAGTCACTGAGGCCAGAGGAAAGGAGGGGAGAGGTGTCTTCTAGAGGCCAAGTGGCCTGTCCCTTGGCCTCTGCTTTCCCATCCATGAAATGGGAGAAGGAGGAATGGCGCATGGGTCTCTATGACATGGGCTAAAAGGGAGCTGGGGAAGGCAGGGAAAGGAGGCAGTGGCACGGGGACACACGGGGACCAAAAGCAAGACACTGAGGGACAAGTGACAGAGCAGCAGGGTGTCAGGAGTCAGTTGAAACTACAGGGAGCCTGAGACCTGGGCCTGCTGTTGGGTGGGGGCAGCCGAGGTGGAAGCTGGCACTGAAGCATTTAAGTCTTCTCCTCCGACTTGTCCCCTTCCCGGGGCCTGGAAAGACCTTGCCAGAGCTAGGTCAGCGGGAGGGCTTGCGGGCCTGAACTGGGACCACTAGGGAGGCAGAGAGCTGGAAGGGACCATGGCTGATGCACGCAGGCTGGCAGGGACCGGGGGTGGGGAGCAGAGAAAGGGGCACCCCAGAAACCCAAGCTGCTCCCAGGTGAGGACTGAGGGGGCTGGGTGGCACCCATCTGTAGAGCTGATTCTCCCCAGGCCTGTGTGAGTCACCTCAGCCGCCCAGTGAATGGGCACCTGTTGGGGCAGCTGAAGAGGCTGGCGCCCAGCACCTGTCAACCACACCCATGGCAGCTGTCCCTCTGTGCTCTGGAAAATCAGGGTAGAGGGTCATAGGGCCCATTCGGGGTCCAGGCCTAGGAGATTGGGCCACTAGCAAGTCTGTAGCCTAGACTTGGGCAGGGGGTATGGGGAGGCAAACAGGTGGCTGTGCCCAGCTTAGCCTGCCAAAGCTCCCCTGCTGTGGCTGAGTTACAGCTACCCCGGCCTCTGCGGACCTTACTTGGTCCCAACAGGATGACATGGGCATAGGAATGTGTTGCCCCAGGACCCAGGTCCAAGCTCTGGGCCGCCTCATGGGAAGATGTCTCCACACCCGTCCTGTTCCCCAAGCCCAGGAGCCACACAAGCCGACACTCACCCCACTGTAAGAAGTTGGCCACGTACTTGTCCTGGGCCAGGTCGGAGGCACCCAGCTCCTGGTGGACGCCCAGGAGAAGGTCGAGCAGGGGCTCCAGCCCCAGGAAGCTGGGGTCCAGCGCCAGCTGCTGGAGCCGCCTCAGCCGTACCTCGGCTGACATGTCGGAAGGGCAGCACCATGGCCTCTCCCCGGGCCGAGGCTCGGGGTCCTCCTGTCACGGGGTCTGGCAGACCCTGTCCAGGCCGCGGAGCCCTGACCGCATGCCTGCCTGGCCCCAGCTGTCCCCTGGGCCTCTCTGGCCACTTCTTTTCGGCTGAGGCCTCCTCCTCCTCTCACCCCGCCCCCTAGTCCAGCCCCCCTCCCGCCTCCCAGTTTTAACCCCTCAGGAGCCAGCCCCCCCCCCCCTTCTAGGGCACTTTTAATCCTTTCAGTGCCGGGGAAGGGCTGGGGAAGGGCTGGGGAACCTCAATCCTCGAGCGCCGGGGAGGCAGGACCCAGGATAAGTCACAGGTTCAGACGAGCCCTCCCGTCGCCCAGGGGCTGTGGAGGCTGAGTGACCTCTAGTAACTCCTCCTCTGGTTTCCCTCAAGAACCATAGCTGGGGGGAGGCAGAGAAAGGGGCTGAGGCCTGGAGCGGGAGGCCAGGGCAGTTTCTCCAGTGACTCAGCGATGGATTCCAACTTTGGGATAGTTACATTTAGCCCCGGGGCCCTCTGCTTTCTACTTTTTGTTTGGCAGGAGGTAGGGCAGGGGTGTCAGAGAATGGGGTGGGGATGCTCTCAGGAGCCAGAGCCAGGGGTGACCTGCTGGCCAGAGCCTGGGGGAGGCGAGTGGTAGAGTCAGGCCCTCCCCAGGCAGAGGAGACCCCAAAATAGCTCCTTGGCCCCTGGCCTGGCAGCCACATTCCTGCCCAGGCTGGGATTAGAAACAGAAACATTTCGGGGGGTGGGGTGGGGTGGGGGTGGAGCGGGAAGACACCACTCCCAGGGCTCTATAGAGCCACCAGCAGGGATGGAGCTTTTCTTTCCAGAGTGGACACAGGAAAGCACGGCCTCTGACTGGAAGTGGGCACCTGGGCCACAGCAGGCCCAGGCCCAAGTCACCAAAGACTTGTCCCTGAGGCAGCTCAGACTCTACTTGGGGCGGGGGCCTTGATGGTACCTCTGGGAGCTGCCTGGGGGAGCACAGGGGACAGTCTTTGGAAGAGTGGAGTTGGACAGCTCAGTGCTTTAAAACAACTTTCAGGACTCCTGCAAGCACATGAAAGAGGGGCTCCTGGCTGCCCACTCTCCTCGGAAGGGCCCGGCTGCTCCTCATGCCCTTGTGCCCTCCCCTCCCGGGCTCCAGCAATTCCGGAGCAGGCTGGGGGAGGCAGCCTGGCCACTGCTTCCTTTGGTAAAAGCCAGGTCCTAGGACAGCGGCCAAGCGCACGCACACACTTCCTCCCGTCCGCCTCGCACAGGGAACAGAGCCGCCATGCAAACAGGGAACTTTAGTATAAATAAGAGGTTCTGGGGGACAAGGAGGGCCCTGGGGACTTCAGTAACTTAACACTCTTCAAAAGCACAGAGGACAGCAAGGGGTGGGATGCAGTAGGGGCTCAGAGAGGGGCCACTCCCTGCTCTGCCCTCACCTCAGGGGCGCACTGCAGAGCTAGGGCTCTGGTGGCAGGGACCTTCTCCCAAGGAATGACCAGTCACATGCTGGGGACAGGGATGTGGGTTAACACTGATGTTTCAGAGGAAGGATCACAGTACTTGGCAACGGGTGGGTACAGGGCTGAGGTCACAGGGGGCGCTACATCCCCGTGTCTGGGCCAGTTTGGGGGGACCCCCGATATTTGTGCAGGCCGGGAGACCAGAGCAGTCCTTCCTTCCTGGTTAGTCTTGTTAATCCGTTGATCCATGAGGTCAGCAGGGAGGGTCATGGCTAGGAGGCTGGGAGCATGGGGCGGAGGACCCCAGCATCCTCGGCTTCACACCACTGTGCCGCTCGGGGAGTTGCCTGGCTGGGAGGAGATGCCCTGGGAGGACAAGAGGGAGACAGGGGGGATTAGACACCACCTGCCAGTGCCCAGGGAAGGAGCTAGCTAGTCCTCAAGGCCACTCCTGCCCTGGGTCTGCCCCTCAGTCCACCCCAGCCCCGAGGCCACTGCACTAGTCCCGGGAGGCACAGCTTGGCTGGTGGCTAGCTTCCCTGTCCCAGCAGTCCGCAGGGTCACATAACAAAGTACTCAGGAGATTAGGGCAGAGACAGTGGGGAAGGGGAAGGGAAGCTGGGGTCCCTTTCTGACTTGGGGGAGTGGCCCTGAGATGCTGGAAAGGCAAGAACTCAGGGACAGTCCTACCTCTACCACTGACTTGCTGGGTGACCTGGGCCAACTTCCTTCCCCTGCCTGGGCCTCGGTCTCCTCCTCTGTGAACTAGGGAGACAGAGGGGTCTCTTTCAGGACTCAGTTGGACTCCCCAAACCCCACCACCCTTGCCTCCGAGATGAGACTGTTCCTGGGTTCTACAATTCGGGAGTCTTCCCCACGTGGAAGACGCAAGGGACTGAGCTGCGGCCCCTGGATCTGGGATCCTGGGCACTAAGGAGCAGAGACACTGAGGACACTGAGCTTCCCAGGTTCCCACACTGCCCCATGGGGACCTTCTCAACCCGACAGCCGCCTGGAAGTGTGGGGACCCTTCCCTGCCCATCTGAAAGGCTGTCTGTCCTAAAGGGGGTGAACAGGGCAGAGAGGGGCAGAGCCTGGCCCAGGAGCCTGGGTCTGATTCCCAGGCCCTGCCTTCCACAGTGGCCTCAGATCCTGAAAGTCTAAGAGCCATGCTGGAAGCTAGGCCCAGAGGCTTAATTCTGCCTCAAAAATCCCGTCATCTGAAATTGGATTCTACAGAAATGGGATCTGCCCTGAGACCAGACCTAGGAGCAGGCACATGGGGCCTGTCAGGTGCCCTTCAGGATGCTGCCCATGGGTCCCCCGGTTCCCGCTGACTCGGACCCCTGCCCTGCTCACTGCTGGCTGGGGCCAAGTGCACTAAACCTGAGGGGTCTCATTCTAGGGCACTAAGATCTCCATGCTTGGGCCGGGGATTTAGCTCAGTGGTTTTGCCACCTGCTGCGCAAGTACAAGGACCCGAGTTCGATCCCCGGTATCAAAAAAAAAAAAAAAAAGATCTCCACGCTTCCCGTCCTCCCACAGGGCCAGAGGCCAGGCCAGTGCCATGTCTGGTCTGCCCACACCTCCTCCCAGTCCCGGGGTGGGACTCACTGCCTTGCCGGGCCTGGCCCAGGTGCAGATGAGGCCCTCCTGGCAGGCGGTGATGATGCAGTCCTCCAGGAACAACAGCACCGTCAGGCGCTCCTGGGCGATCTTCTTGCACACCAGGGGCTCCAGCAGTGGCACCTCGTGGATGCGTGGGCACAGCGCGGTGCCTAGCACCTTGGCAGGGTCCAGGCGGCTGCGGGGGGCAGGGCCGCTGGGCTTGTCGCCACCGCTGCCCCCACTGCCCCCTCGGCTGATGTTGCCCAGGCTATGGTAGCGCTTGTGCTCCTTCTCGGACCCCCGGTCCCGCCGCTCCTGCAGGGTGAGCGTGGCGAAGCGGCCAATGCTGAACGGCGTGCCCGGCTCCGCTGCAGCACCTGGGCCGCCAGCCTTGCCACCGCCTGCTGGGTGTGGGAGGCTGTTAGAGCGGGACAGGGAGCGGGGCAGGGGGCCCAGGCCAGGCTCCGGACCCCTCGAGTTGCCAGTGGCTGGCGGCGTGGCACCCGGGGTGCTAGGAAGAGTGCGTGTGCGGGTCAGGGGCGGGTGTGGGGAAAGCACGTCTTCCGTGAGGTCCCACAGGCAGAACTGCGTGTCCTGACCCGCTGAACCGAAGCGGTAAGTGATGGAGCCGGCCTTGGGCAGCGGGGAGAGCGGGGCACCCCCGCCTGCGCCTGGGCCAGCGGCCTCAGGCTCCTCCTCCTCCTCGCCGCTCCCATCCCCGTCACCACTGCCCGCTGTCACCTCTTCTGCCCGCGTGGTATAGGGGTCAAAAGCCACAGCGTTGACCCAGGATTTGTGACCGTGGCCTCGAGCCACCACGCGGCCCTCAGTGAAGGACCACACAGTGACCAGGTCGTCTTCGCCTCCTGTCACTACATAGCGGCCGTCGGGGCTCCAGCACACGCAGAGCAGGCCCCCAAAGTAGCTCTTCATGAGCCCCCGCAGCAGCATAGAGTCGAAGTGGAAGACACGCAGGCAGCCGTCCTGGCTGACACAGGCCAGGTGGCGGCCGTCGGGCGAGAAGGCAAACTCGTTGAGGGGCCCTTCGCCCACCGCCCACTTGGCCAGCGGGTTGCGGGGTGCTTTGCTCTTGGCGGCGTAGACAGCAAAGCCCTCGCCCTGCTTCAGCAGGCTGTACTGGGGTGGGGCTGAGGCGCACGGGTGGCTGACATTGTACAAGTACAGGTGGCCGCTAGCGTGGGAAGCCAGGAACAGGCTCTCAGATTCAGGCAGCCACTTGAGATATGTCACCTTGGTCTTGTCAATCAGCCGCTGCAGGGGGAGACAGGGAGGGGTTGGAGAACACCGTTAGCTCTTGCCGCTCTGACCCCAACCTGGGGCCACCAAGGCCTGTGTACCTCGGCCAACCCCCAGGCCCTGCTGGGGAGCAGCTCCCACACTGAGGGAGCCAGATGCCAGGTCACCATAGGGAAGGGGAATAGGGCTGCCTATGAGGGGGCCACGGGGAGTTCCATGCAGCCCTGATGGCCCGTCTTTGGCAAGGGGACAGTCCACTGCCAGTCCAGTCCTCCACCTAACCCTTACCCCATCTTCACCATGTGAGGGTTAAGGCAAGAAACTGATTCCCACGATGTCGGCCCTAGCACATGATAGCGAAGGGCCCCTCAACGAGTTTCCTTTCTCGTTCAACGGCCGCCACCTGGCCTGTGTACACCCAGCAGGCACCTTGAAGATATTTCCTGGACAAATGACTGACAGCCCCATCCTGCCAACTGCTTATGTCAAAAACCTTCACAGCATCTTCCCTCCTCTCAGCTCATGTCCAATCCTCCAACAAATCCTGTGGTCCTGACTTTCAAAGTAGAACCTGACCTCCTCTCACCAGCCTACTCCGGCTGCCACCAACCTCACACTGCCTCCCTGGACTCCAGGCCTCCAGCACCTGGGCTGGTCTCTTCTTTCTAGTCATCAGAGAGGAGCTGTTAAACACAAGCCAGCACCTGCCCAGGACACTCTGCAGCCTTCTCCGCCAGGGTTCCAGGGAGAGCAAAGCCCTGTGCACCCTCCACCTGGACTAGGGGACTTCTCTCCCACTCTGGGAGAGCTAAGAAAACCACCCTCCCCAAATCATTCTCTGCTCTACGGCTCAGATATGCCAGGCTGGAAGGCTGCTCCACAGACTCCATCCACCAGAAATAGGCAAAGTCTCTGCCAGGCTGCCAGGGAACTGGCCCCTCCTGCTATGTTCCCAGATTCATCTACCATCCGCTGCTCTTCTTCAACCACCGCCCTGGCCACCTGGCCTTCCAGTTGTCCTGCTTCAGGACCTTTGTCCTCGGTGTTCCCTCTACTCAGACTCTCCTTCCCCAGTGACTTTTCTGGCCTCCTTCAGATCTTCTTCATTTCAAAGTCACCTCCTGGCAAGCCCTTCCTGACCAACCTATTTCAACTCACCAGACTTCCCCGCTGCTCCTTTCCCTACAGCCTCACCACCAGCCAGCATGCAGGACCCTTACTGTAGCTGATAAGCATGTGCCTCCCAGCTTGACTGGAAGCTCAGCATGGACAGGCCCTTCAGTCCTTCTGCTCCCTGAGATGTGCTTGGAACCATGCCTGGCACAGGACAGATGCTCTGTAACTGCTCCGTGAATGAATGAGCTAATGCCTTTTAATCCAGTCTCTGTTTCACTCATTCCCTTCAGCCACTCACCCATTTGGACAGTATTTATGGAACACCCCTCTGGACCAAAGAGAAGGAGATACAGGGCAACAGCAGTCCCTGCCTGCAGATGAGGCCTTGTGCTGGCCTCTCTTCTTGAGCCTAACTGGCCCAGACTGAGCAACTGCCATGTATGAGTTTATATCAGTCCTAGCCAGAAAGGATAAATATCCTATTTGCAGAGGAGGAAAACTGAGACTTAGAGAATAGTCACCTTCCTGAAGTCAAAGAGCAAGTCAATGATGCAGCAGGGATTTGAATCCAAAGCCCACAGAGCTCAGAACTTGAAGAGCAAGGGTATCCAAAAAGGCCCAACCAGTTACTAGCCTCAGTCCCCCAATCTGCAAATGGGCACCAAAATTTCTTACCCATTGGTTGATGAAGCTCAATGAGTAATCCGTTCAGCACAGGGCCAACATAGCAGAGGGTCCGGGCATGACAGGGGAAGCTGTCATTATGAGCTGCTGTCACCCCATTCCCCATCTCTTTTTCCCCCTGCCCCCTTAGGCCCACCCTGCTCCCAGGCAGCTGCAGTCCCATGACAAACAGCACTTGTGGGCCCACAGTCACCTCCTCATTGAACAGCTTGCTGGTGTCCTTCTTGATGAGGTCCAGGTATTGCACCTGGCCGGCCGAGAAACCCACCAGCAGGGAGATGGTCTCCGTGGCAGCAGTGAACTGGTTGAAGTCATGGCAGGTGGGCTGGGTGCCCTTGTAGATCCGTTTGTCGATGGGCTTGTTGAGGTCAATGGACTTGAGTGGTGGGAGGAAAAGGAGTTAACGCTTTACACCACTGAGAGGAAGGAAGAGGGTGCTGAGGTTGAAGAAAACCGCTAAGAGGAAGCAGGGTTAAATGCCTGAGGGAAGTGGGTGGGTAGGTGGGGAGGGAGGGAGGGCACAACCACAGACAGGAAGGGGACACAAATCACAGACAGAGTGGGGCAAAAAACCAGCTGGAAGGACATCCCCTCAGACCACTGTGCCTTTCCACAGCTGGACCCTCCCACCACAAATTTAGGCTTCCCACACCATCAGGCTTCAGGGTTCCCATAGTCCGAGACTTCCAATTTTTTTCCAGCCCCATCCCAGCCCCTATAACCTCAGCAACTCCATGGGACACAGCACACTAGTCCAAGACCTCAAATCCTCAGCCACACCCAAGTTCAAGGCCCAATACCCCAGAATCCCCTTCAGTTTGGAGACCTTAAACATCAGGACTTCTGTCACAGCCTAGGGACCCTTCAACTCTGATGACCCCCATAAGCGAAGTACATTCTTCACCTCTGGCTTCTGAGGATCCTCATCACTCCAGGGGTCTGCCCCTCTGGGACCTAGATCACTTTAGGATGCCCACGCCTGAGGATTTCTCCTATCACCTCAGTCTCCCATCAGCTTAGGTCCCTCAAGACCTTCACGACCTCCAGACCCCGATTTTCCCTAGGATCTCATTCACCTATTACCTCTAAGAACTGCATCTCCTCAGAATCGCTCTCATTCCCGGGCTCCCTAAATCTCAAGACCGCCCCCCCAACACCTGCAGATTATAGTATTTCTGGGCTGTCCCTCTCGTCCGAGCTTGCATCATCTTACAATTCTCCATCGCCTGCAGAATTCCTGCTACCCCAGAATCATCTCAGATGTCTAATCACAATCTCCACTACATATGGAATACTCATCATCCCCAAACGGAAGCCATTCCCTTATCACCTTCCGGAATCCTGCGTTACCTCTAAGAATCTGGTCCCCCTGGGATGTCCATCGCATCTAGGACGCCTTTCTCCGGGGCTCCTGTCAATTCGGGGACTCACCTATCATTTCCCAGGGACCCAGTCCTCTCAGCACCCAGGCCCCACAACGCGGGCCGCTCACCCGTTGGCTCCCGCGGCGGCAGCAGCCGGGGTAGAAATAAAGCTCGCGGCCCAAATTGAAGCAGACGCGGTCTCCTCCTGCGCCCAGTCCCGCGGGCGTGGCGGGCGGCTCCCCAGGCCCCGAGCCTTCAGGCTCCCCGAGGCGCACGAGGCTGAGGCGCACGGCTGGCAGCGCGGGCCCGGGCCCGGGGCCTGCGGGCGGCGGGGACGACGCGGGGCCCGCCGCGCCGGGGCCAGAGGTAGAGGCAGGGCCGGGCGGGGGCTGCGGCGGCTGGGGCGGCGCCGGGGTCTGGGCGGAGGCCGGCCCCGACCTGCGAGCGGCGCCGTCGCCGGGGAGCAGCTTGTAGAAGCCCTCGCGGGTGCGGAACTGCGACTTGATCTCCGCGCAGTCCCCCATGGCGGCGCCGGGGCCCGAGCCACCCTCCCCGCCACCCGCCGCCATCTTGGGCGCCCCCCGGGCCCCGCCGCTGCTGGACCGCTGCCCGCAGCCCGGCCCCCTGCCGGAAGCCTCGGCCCGTGCCGGAAGAGGTGGGATCGTCGCCGCCCGGCAACGCCTCTTCGATTGGCACCCGGGTTCGGAGCCAGGATGAGCGCTGCCGTCGCCGGGGTAACGGTTCTTGGTTGCGGGTGGGGTCAAAAGATGGGCGAGGCCTCCAAAGACTGCGGTTGAAAAGCAGTCGGCTGCGGGGGCGGGGCCCGCAGGAGAAGGGGGCGGGGCCGCTTTGAAAGCTCTAGTACTTAACAACGGCTCCTGGGAACCGCTTACCTAGCAACGGAGGGACCCTCAAGAGGCCTCTCAGTATTACAGCCTTCCCATGATATCATAGCTTACCCCAAGTGACCCTCGTGTCTTCTTAAATTCACAATACACCCTTCCCGACCTCCATTGTTCCTACTGACAGCTTAAAGTCCCTATTTCTCCCCACCCCCAAATCCTAGCTGACCCCAGTGTTGCCACAAGCTCCCAAATTTCATCTGATCCACTATAATTGATGCTAACTCCAAACATCTATATTTTTCACCAACCTCCAACATACTTCTCTGTGACTTCACTGTCTTCAATAACCTCACTCTCCCTCCAAAACCTACCTCTGACTCCAAAATTTCATTGATCCTTGCAATGCTCCTGTGCCCCACCAGTAACCCAAAGTCTCCCCTCTCTTCTGATGAAGCCACCTTGGCCCGAATACAGATTTCTCTAGACTCCAGTACTCAAAGGCTTCTCAGATTTCTCACCAGAATGCCCCAGAGGCGTCCTACTAGCAAGTCCTACAGTGAGTGTGGCATCTTAGGGCTGGCCCTGCCAGCTCCCCAGTCACCTAGGTCACAAATCTGCGTGTCTCCTTGAATTTATACCATTTCTCTTCACTCCTCCCACTTCCAGTCCCCAAGTCTCTGCAACCTACCATCAGAATTCCTTTTTCATTTCCTTCCTTTTTATAGTCCTGCTCTGAATTTTTCTGCTGTTCCTAAGTCCCCCTGCATCAATCCTGTCTCTGGTCTCCCGGACTCCTACCTCACCTCTCCTATTCACTACTAGGGAGTGAACCTAGGACCTTCACACTGAACCACATCAACAGCCCCTCCCCTCTTTTAGACAGGGTCTTGCAAGTCACTAAATTGCCTGGGCTGGGCTCAGACTTGCAATCTGGTTAGTTTCCCACAGTGCTGAGATTACAGGTGTGAGCCATCATGTCTGGCTTCACTAGACAATTGTTGTTTTAAAGATGGGGTCTCATTGTGTAGTTAGAGTTGGCCTCCAACTCACTATGTAGCCCAGTCTGGCCTCGAACTCTTAGCAATCCTCCTGCTTCAGCCTCCAGAGTGCTGGGATTGCAGGTGTGTGCCACCACACCCCAAGGTTGAGACAGTGTCTCTCTAACTTGCCCTGGTTGGCCTCTAACTTGCAGTCCTTCTGCTTCAGTTTGCTGAGTAGCTGGAATTGGTCTGGCCTCAGCCAAGCTCTTTTTCTAGCCTCATCTCTGTCCCCTAACCTCTCACACTACGTGCCACCTAAAAGGAGAAACTGTCCCGTTCCATCATATTGTTACTGTATCTTGTCCTTGGGTCTTTGCATATGCTGTTCCCTATGCTTGGAATGCCCTTCTGTGTTCTTTTTCTTGACCTCTTAAGAGTTGGCTCAGCCCCTTTGTCAATCCTCTGAGCTCCTCCAGGGGGACTGTCATCTTGGGGGAAAAGTCTGTCTTCCATATACCGTGAGCCCTGGGAAGGCAGGCGGGGGCCCACGTGGATACTTCTGTGTCCTCAGCACAGGACTGGGCTAATAGGGTCACTTCGGTAACCATGTGATGGCCAGCTGAATAAATAAATGAAGAAGGGAGGACTCCACCAGCCGATGTCAGCTCCCGCCCCAGCACAGTGCAACAGCCCTGACTTGGCATCCAGGTCAACAAATGTGGCAAACGAATGAATCAATCACTGCATCGGAAATGTATTTTTCTTCTACCCCTGCACGCCAGGAGCAGGAAGCAAACGACAGTGAAAATACAATCCGGAACTGACTACATGGAAGGGAAAACTGCTGTCTACCTGCTTGGGGGAAGGGGCTGCAGGGCCTTAGTCCTCCAAGTCCTCGTCCTCCTCTTCCTCCTCGTCCTCCTCCTCCTTCTCTGCGGCCGCCAGAGCCTGCTCCTGGGCAGCCCGCAGGGCCTGCTCCTCCTCCACCGTGGGGTCGCCCATCTCCATGATCTCCGGGCCACTCGCGTACTCCTGCTGGACTGTGGCTGGCAGGGCCGGGTTGAAGTTGTCCGGGCTGTACTTGTGACCCCAGCCGATGTAGAGGTTCCCAAACTTTCTAGAAGGGCAGCGAGATACCACGAAACTCTGAGGGGGCTGCCCAGAGTGTGGGCACAACCTGTCGGCAAAGTCTCGAAAAGTCTCGCGGGGTCAGGTGAAACACACCCACCTGGTTTCTCTGTCCCTTCGTTCAACGGACAAATGTTTACTGAGCACCTACTCTGTACAGGCTTAGATCTACTGAGAGCATGTGTAGCTGCGGGAGTGCTTGAAACATAGCGAGGGCAAGGGGAGGGCTTATGTTTCCATCTTATTATTTAATTTTCTAATTTCCCTTGTGATGTCATCTTTATGGAACCCAGGTCCTTCCCAATGAGATACATCCCCAGTCATTTGTTTGTTTGTTTTGTTTTGCTTTGTTTTTGGGACAGGGTGTTACTAAATCTCTAAGTTACTCAGGTTGAACTCAAATGTGTGATCCTCTTGCCTCAGCCTTTCAGAGTGCTAGGATTACAGGCATGCATGCCCTTTCCTGGCTTGTGATTTCTGCTTGACCTATTGGTTATATAGGAGAGTATTATTTCCTTGCCACATACTTGTGAGCTTCTCCAGTTCCCTTCTGTTATGATTTCTAATTTAGTTCCAAGGTTGTCAGAGAAGATACTTTGCATGGTTTCAATTCTTTTACATTTATTCAGAATCGTGCCTCAGTACCTGGTCTGTCCTGGATTGTGTTCCATGAATGCTTCAGAAGAATATATATTCTGCTGTTGGGTGAAATGGATTTTTTTTTTTGGTACCAGGGATTGAACTTGGGTCCTTGTGTTTGTGCAGCAGGCGGAGAAACCACTGAGCTAAATCCCCAGCCTGAAATGGATTTTTAATTAGTTTCAATTTAAATAATAAAATTGAGACTCAATTTGGTTATTGAAAAACCTCTATGTATGCCTGGAACATCTTGGGTACCTGAATCTCCATTTTCAACTGGAAATATTTTTAAGTCTGAGTACAGGTCAAGTATTTCTGATGCGCACACCTGTAATCTCAGCAGTTAGGAGGCTGAGGCAGGAGGATAGATGCCAGTTCAAGCCCAGCCTGCACTACAAAGTGAAACCCTGTCTCAAGAAGAAGAAGAAAAAAAGTATTTCTGATGATCTGAATACAGGCCAGATATTTCTGGTGAAAATTTAGCATCCAAATTGAGGTGCACTGTAAGTGGAAAGTACATCCCAGATTTTGAAGACTTAGTTGTGTTTTGGGTCCCCCCCCCCGCCCATGCTGGGGGAAAAGCCTCTCAAATGCTAGACAAATGTTCTACCACTGAGCTACACTCCCAGCCCTTCAATGTATTTTGTTTGGTTTTTTTCTTTCTTTCTCAGTGCTGGGTTCGATCCCCAGTACCAAAAAACAAAAAAAACAAAAACTCAGTGCTGGGGGTTGAAATGAAGGTCTTTTTTGTCCCCCAATGGTGGGGATTAAACCCAAAGGCTTGGCACTGAGCTGCACGCCCAGACCAGTTTTAATTTTTAAATTTTGAAACAGGATCTTGATAAGTCACTATGTTTCCCAGGGTAACTTGAACTTTCTCCTTCCTTTTCCTTCTCCTCCTCTTCCTCTTCTTCTTTTTTATGTTTATGTTTTTTGTTGTTATTATTTTGAGCCAGAGTCTTGCTATGCAGTCCAGGCCGGCCTTGAACTCACTATGTTCCCCAGGGTGGCCTCAAACTCACAGTGATCCTCCTGCCTCAGCCTCTCAAGTGCTGGGATCACAGGTGTGCACCACCACTGCGTTGTTTTTTGTGTTTTTTTGGTACCAGGGATCAAACTCAGGTCCTTGCACTTGCGCAGCAGGAGGCGAAACCACTGAGCTAAATCCCCAGCCCCACCACTGGTTTTAATCTAGTGTCCTCTGCATGCTGGGCAACTGCCCTACCACTGAGCTCCATTCCTAGCCTTGAAGACTTAGCATGAGACAATGAATATAAAATAGCTCGTTAATGATTTCATATTATTGGTTTCATGTTTTAATTATAACATTTTAGTATATGAGATAAAATATGTTACTACAATTAATTTATTTGCTTATCTTCATTTTTTAAATATGGCTACTAAAACATTTTAAATGATCTATGTAGCTCTTATGCTATTTATGTTGCTCTAGGTGCTGGAGCACAGAAGGAAGCAAAGAAGACCAAGATTCCTGGCCCATTGCCACTGTCCTGCTTCAAGGTCGATAATAAAGGAGGCCACGGGTTGGGGATTTAGCTCAGTGGTGCCACACCTGCCTGGCAAGTGCAAGGTCCTGAGTTCGATCCCCGGTACCAGGAAAGCAAGCAAGCAAGCAAGCAAGCTACTGGTAGGGTCCTCACCTATCAATTCTGCCTTTCTTCATAATTCCAAGTAGAAAAGGAGAGAGGAGCAAGTGGAAGAAAAGGGAGGGGGCTCCAGGAGAGGGAGCAGCAGAGACAGGGAGAGGGCAGAGAGAAGAGGGGAAGAGGTAAGATCCAGAGCTCTGGTCCTGGAGGAGCGGTTTTGTTTCCACCTTGTTTTCAGGTTTCGCTGTTCCACAGAGCATTGCTTTCCTCTGGCTCCTCAGCGCCTCTCAACACATAGCCACCCAGGTAGCCTCCAGGCTTCCACCACCCCTGGCCACATGACCCCTGAATCAGCAATCGGCCTCACTTGGAGCTGTTTAAAAATGTCAGATCTTGGGCCGGGGATTTAGCTCAGTAGTTCCACCACCTGCCTCGAAAGCATAAGGACCCGAGTTCAATCCCCAGCACCAAAATAAAAAGCGCCAGATCTCATCAGGCATGGTGGTACATGCCTGTAATCCCAGTACTTTGAAAGGTTGAGACAGGAGGATCTCAAGTTTGAGCCCAACCTGGGCAATTTTGTGAGAATCAGTCTAAAAAAAAAAGCTAGAAGTGTTGCTCAGAGGAAAGGCCCTGGGTTCAAGCCCCACTGCTGGGGAGGAGCCTGAGATTCAGGCTCCATGCCAGACTCCCACAACCAGAAATCTGCGTCCTATCCAGATGCCCCGAAGCCCTCATATTCACAGCGTGGGAAGCTCTGTTCTTTGATGTTCCTTCTGCCGGCCTTTGCCCGCTACCCCCTTTCCCCTGCAGATTTCAGCTCAGGCTGCTTTCCCCAGGAACCGCTCCCTAATCCCCGAATGCATGACAGGTGCTGCAGGCGCGCCCTGCACTCACAGCTGCACTCGTCCCTTTGTAACAGGGCATTATTTGGCAGGAAGGGTCGGGGCATGTTGTCTGCCTCTGCTTCCACTACCTGCTCTGGGAAAGCAGCCATATCCGTCTTTCCAACAAAGGGCCTGGATCCAGAACACAGTCGGCAGTAGTGACATTCCAGGGTCTTTTATAGGGGAAGGATGGACAGCCAGGTGGAGGAGTGGGGGTGTGGACAGAAGGGTAGATGGGGAGGTGGAAGGGTGGGCAACTGGAACCCCAAGTTTGGATCCTTTGATCCAGAGGCAGGTTGGTAAGTTAGGGGGTGGCCAGAGAAGGGGTATGGCAAAAGCAAGCTTGTCATTTCCCAGCTTCTGGAGAAGAAAGAAAAAAAATTGCCAAGAAGTGGTGAAAGTACCAAGATGACATGAAATCTATGAAAAAGCTGCTGCCACCTGGTGGACAGAGCTGGTAAGCGCGCCCCCCTCCCGGGCAGAGCAGAGGGGCTGCCACAGGCCTGGTGACTGGGCTGAGGGACTGAAGTGGAGGGTGTGGCTGGGGCCAGAGCAGCTGAGTGACTCTGGCTTACCAATCTTTTGGGAGCAACTGATAGGCTATCCTCGTGGAGAAGATTTCAACCTCCTGGACAGGAGACCCTTCCGATTGGACAAACTGTCCAGGGATCCAGAAGAGTCAACTCTCCCTGCCCAGAAAAGGCCCTGCCACAGTGGTCAGGGAACTGGAGACCCAGGCTGGCATCCCACAAGTGCCGTGTGGCTCTGTGCCATTCCTTTCCCTTCTCGGATCCTCCATTATTTGATTTTGGGGGGTTTTTTGTACCGGGTATCGAACTCAAGACCTTGCAAGGCAGGCGCAGCACCACTGAGCTAAATCCCAGCCCAGATCTTCCATTCTTTCATCTGAGATTTTTTGTTGTTTACAGATTGAACTCCTGGGCTCAAGTGATCCTCCTGCCTCAGCCTCCAGAGTACCTGGGACTACAGTTCCTGCCACTGGCTCAGCTTGGATTTTTTATTTTAGCCCCAGTGGTACCCCGGGGAGGAAGTTAGGGGCTTAGTCCCCTCAAGGGCCTCCTCCGAATCTGCCCTTGCTGGTGAGTTGCCAGCTCCAAAGGAGGCCCGAGAGGGTTCCTGCTGGGAGGGACGGGAAGCCATACTTGCCACTGGCGTAGGCGTAGGCCCCGGGCCACAGGTTGGAGCGAACTACTGCCACAGAGTACTGTGGGCAGAGGCTGCAGGACAGGCGGGTGGTCCAGGGAGACATGTTCATAATTTCTGCAGCGGGAGGTGGAGAAGCACAAGGTCAGGGGTCCCCATCCCCTGCACAGAGCCCAGGGTGGAGGGGGAGAAGGAAGAAAGAGAGCAAAGCCAGAGGACCACAGTGTCACCCAGGCAGCTGCCATGACAACAGCATGGGCTGTGCCTTCTGAACCCCAGCGCCAGACCTCCCTCTTGCTCAGGTGTGGGGCCCACTTCAGCCCTCTGAGGCTCAGTGGTGGCACCTGGGTGAGGGGCGGGGATAGGCAGCTGGTGTCCCTCGAAGGCTGGGCTCAAATCCAGCCTCTGTCCCCCACCTCCACCCGGCCTCTCCTTCCTCTCCCCTCCAGCTGCCTCATCCAAAATCCAGCAAAGTCTCACCTTGGGGTGGCAGGGCCCTAACTACATCACCCTCCCCAAGCTCACCAGGAACTCAAAGACCCTATCTGGAGATTAAAGCCATTGCCACATGCCACATGTGACTCTCATCGCTCCAGGAGAGGGGCGGTATCCAGTGAGCACTGAGGCTCCAAGAGATGGGAACGGTGATGCCCCCGGACGTCCTGCCTGGCTTCCCTCTGTGCCACCCTCTCCCAGCTAGGCGCTTCCACACGAGGACGAGGGGACCCTCACCTGCATCTTCTGAGAGCGGTGTCAGCAGTGGAGGCCCGATCTCCTGCTCCACTTCCTCCAGGACCTGGTCGGCCTTCTCTTCCTCCTCCCTCAGTTCCTCCTCCTCCTCCTCCGTCTTCTGCAAAGGGTTCACCCAAGTGCAGCGGCCCTGGAGTGGGAGCATGGTCAGGTGGTAGCCCCAGGGGACAGAGCTGGCCTGAACTGGGGAGGACACTGGGGCACCTCCCTGTCTGCGGCCCTCTTCATTCCTTCACTGGTTCTCACTCACATCTGTAATGAGCACTTCCCAGAGGCGGGTGCTAGGGATGAACCCTTGAGAAAGGGGACCTCAGAGTCTGCCCTGTGCACCACACTTGGGAGCCACGGCCTCCATTTGCCCATCTGTGCAGTGGGTGTCACAGATACCTCTCAAGTTGGATCGTTGCTGGGTTCAGGAGCCTCTCCAGACCCAAGGAATGCTTCTTTTTGATTTTTTGTTTGGGTTTTGCTCCATGTGCGTGTGTGTGTGTGTGTGTGTGTGGTGCTGGGGCGGAACCCAGGACTTCGGGAATGAACATGTGAACAAGTGCACGGCACAGAGCAGACTTCCGCTCCCTCTGCTATGAAATGGGAATGGTAGTCATACTGATCTCTAAAGGAGTTAAATGGATTCAATAAAACATTGTAAAGTCAGTAACAGTCTAATTAGTTAGATCATTAAAAGTTCCTAGAACCCAGCGGGTCCTTTTTTTTTCCCCCAGTACCGAGGATTGAACTCAGCATCTTCTCACTGACATACATCCCCAGACCCTTTTTATCTTTAAAATTTTGACACAGGGTCTCTCTAAGCACCAGGTCGGGCTCAGATGCTTCCTTGAATGAATAAATGTATAAATATAGACTCTGAACCAGCTGTGGTGCGCATGCCTGAATCCCAGGACTCAGGGAGGCTGAGGCAGGAGGATCACTTTGAGTTCAAGGCCACTTTGGGCTACATAGTGAGATCTTTAAAAAATGAAAAGGAAAAGAAAATTTAAAAATAAATTTGGGACATTGTAGGCACAAAATCCAGATCAGGTCCATAACCTTCCTCTCTCTCTCTCTCTCTCTCTCTCTC